AGATGTCCTTTGCTTAAGATAGATGACCTTATAGACTAGTAAGTTGAAGCTTGTGTGTTTAGCAAGATAAATTTGAAATTAGGTTACCATCAAATTTGGGTGAAGTCTGAGAATATTCCAAAAACTACCTTTTGGGACTAGCTATGGACATTATGAGTATTTAGTTATGCCTTTTGATGTGACTGATGCACCCAGAATATTCATAGATTACATGAATATGATCTTTCACCATACCTTGATAGGTTTGTAGTGGTCTACATAGATGACATCCTTATATACTCTAAGACTGGGGAAGAGCATACCGAGTATATTAGGATAGTGTTGCAAACCCTTGAGGATAAACATTTTTATGCTAAGTTGTATAAGATTGAGTTCTGGCTAAATATTGTGGCTTCTTAGGACACATTATATTTGAGGGAAGGATAGTTGTAGGTTCTTCTAAGGTAAAAATTGTTTTAGAGTGGGAAACATCTAAGTAAATTTTTGAGATTAGGATTTTTATAGGATTAGTTGGTTACTATAGGAGGTTTATAGAGAATTTCTCTAGGTTAACCTTGCCTTGGACTAAGTTAACTAAGAAGAACCAACCTTTCGTGTAGGACTCTAAGTGTGAGGAGAGTTTTTAGAAGCTTAAGAGGAGACTAACTAGTGCACCCTGTTTTAGTAATACCTGACACTATTGAAACCTTTGTAGTGTATTGTGGCACCTTTAAGATGGGTTTAGGAGGAGTGTTTATGCAGAAAGGGAAGGTAGTAACCTATGCATCTAAGCAATTGAAAACTCGTGAATAAAATTATCCTACCCATGATCTAGAGTTAGCTGTTGTAATTTTTGTGTTAAAGTTGTGGAGACATTACCTGTTTGGATATAGATTTAAGGTGTTTAGAGGCCATAAAAGCCTTAAGTATTTATTTGACCAAAAAAGAGCATAACATGAAACAAAGGAGATGGTTAAAGTTTCTTAAGGACTATGACTTTGAGCTTAGCTATCGCCCTAGTAAGGCCAATATAATGGTTGATGATTTAAGTAGGAAATTCCTTCAGGTGTCTACTTTAATGGTTAGAAAGCTTAGTTTGTTAGGAGGGTTTAAACACTTTAGTTTGGCTATTGAGTTGACCTCAGAAGTATTAGATTGGGAACCTTGAGGGTGACAATAACCTAATAGATGAGATTAGAGAGATTCAAAAGGTATATCCTTTCTTATTAAGTCAAATAGAGAAGTTGAACCAAGGGAAAAAAGAGTGAGTTTGGAGTTGGTGTACATGGAGTGTTAAGGCTTGATGATAGGTTGTGTGTTTTTTGTATACCCGAGCTTAAGAAAATGATCCTTGATGAAGGTCATAAGGGTAAATTTAATATCCACCTAGAAGCCACTAAAATATATCATAATCTTAAGAAGATGTTATGGTGGCCTAGGATGAAAAGGGAGGTAGAAGAATTTGTGTATGTTTGCTTAGTTTGCCAAAAATCTAAGGTGAAATACTAGAAACCTTTATGAAAGGTGCAACCATTAGATATATACCTGCGTGGAAGTAGAATAACATCTCTATGAACTTTGTGGTTGGATTACCTAGAACTATAAAGAATCTAGATTCTATTTGGGTTATAGTGGATAGAGTAACGAAGTCTACTCACTTTATCTCTAACAATATTAGATACCTTTTGGAATGATAGACCAAGTTGCACATAGGTGAGATTGTAAAGTTATATGAGACTCCCGTTAGAAAAGTTATTTTGTTAAAGTCTTATCTAATTTATTAGTCTATTTAAAAGTCTATTTTATATTAATAATGTTAATTAAACTAATAAACTTAATTTTTAAAAAGTCAACAACTTTATTTTTAAATATGTCTTTGAGAGTTATTTTCTAATTTATGCGATAAAATATAATTTACTCGATATTATTAAGGTTTAAATTTTGAAATACATATAATGTCATAAAGAGGGGAAAAATGAATTATTTTCTATCAAAGATACAATTCATGCACAGTTGTGTATGTTGGTGTATATTCATATACAAACCATAAAACTATAAATTTATAATGAAAAAAATAATCATATAAAAAAGTTTTAAATATTTTTTATATCTAATTTGGTATATTCTAAATAATTAACTCATATTTTAATATATTAAAATAATTATGATAATAATTTACAAATTAAAAAAAACTTATTATATACAAGATAATCTCATATATATATATATATATAATGTCATAAAGAAAAAATAAATTAAATTATTTTTTATTAAAGGAACAGCTTATTTATATCCATATATATTTTTACATACAATATAATAACTAAAGGTAATTTTATTCAAATAATATAAGTATATTAATTTTTGTTATATTATATTGATAAATAAACTGATCTATCAAATTTAACAATTTTTTTTTATAAGTTTAAATTTAACTTTTAAAAATAAATAATTTTTTAAAAATATAAATATAATATTTTAATTTAATAGAAGTATAGAACAAATCAAAGTTTAAAATATTCATATCCCGTTACCAATTTCCATTCATAGCATAATGTAAAAGGCATTTAGCAACTTGACAAGTGGAGGCATTGAGAGCGTTGTTGGTTGTAGACATTAATGAATGAACGACACACCAAAGTAAACCGCTCGCAAATTTACTCCAACTTAGCAAAAGGGGTTCGTGTACGAAACTAACCATTCTCCCGCCGCACACCTTCCCCTTTCATGAATACATCATGAAAAAACGGTTGGTGTAGGGACAACCTCATTCACTGCCTCAATTATTACAAATTCAATATATTTTTTTAATCTGCCTCCTCATCTATATTTTTATATATGAAAATTATTACTGTAATATGTTAAATTTTAATAAAATTTCAAATACATAAAAGTTGTAAAAAATATAAATAATATTAAAATAAAAAATACTCCATACCATCTGTATCTTATTTAAAAACAAAAATAAAATAAAAATAGACACAAAAGAAATTATCAAAAGCATAGTTTTAAAAACCGGACCGGTCATCGAACCGGTTAAGGTACTGGGTCAGTGGGTCAAAGGTTGAACCGGTGGGTTACTAGTTGAACCGCATGATTCGGTTTTTATTTATTTTTATTAAAAAAATATTCATATTAAATATATTTTATACTTATAAATTTTAATAAATTTATATCTTATTTTAAATTTCAATTTTTCTATCTTATTTAAAATTATTTTTATTTTTATTTTGTAAAAAATATATAAAAAATTACATATTAAACTGTATATTAATACAAATTAAAAATATAAATAATATGTACATATATAATATGCTTGCAATTGATATCACAAAATAATATATGTAATATTTACATATATATTATATTATTAAATATATAATATAAAATTAATAATATACTATAAAAGTTATTTAAGTTGTATATTATATAAACAAATACATTAGAACAAGTAGTTATTGTTATATTTAATAAGAATCTTTGTTCTTCTATTAAAAGATTCAATTTTCATTATTATTTTTGTGGTTTATGGTCCCTTAAAAAATAAAAAAAA